CCACTGAATGTTCCAGCTTGAGGGGGCGACTTCGTGCGGATGTCACCTGTTTCGGGTTTAATTTGCGTTTATGTCCTGGATTCCTAGAGAGCGCTGCCCTGAGAATCGTTTCGATAAGATTAAAAGATGCGGTCGCATTTGTAAATAAACTCATAATTTCTCCCTTTTGTAGGCAAATTCAGATGGAAAGAGAGGGAATGAGAAGAGCAGAAAGAAAACAAACGCAATTAAAGAAACTACTATGATAGAAGAGAATGTATGATATGGAGGCATTTCTAACTAGGAACGCTAATTTAAAATTAAAGAAAACAGAGTATGACAAATACCAGTGATCAAACGATAAATTACGACAAAGCGAAAATAGATATGTATCTGAAATTAAGATAGGAGTGAGATAACATCCGAAAACGTTGAGAATTCTTTGAATGTAATATTGAAGAGGAATGATTTAATTGTTTAAAGTGGTAAGACATTGTAGGATACATTCTGATGGAAATCTCCACTTAGAAATAAATATCTTCTTTCCTAAGATATGGTTGTTTTAATGTTTATCTTTAGGCTGTTTAGATACCCGTCAATCAAAGTCGAGAGCAAAAAAATCTTCTTGTGACATCAAATAGAATACTTATCCTGCTGTCAGTGAAAGCAAACTGTAAATTTAGTTAGATGTACATTTTTCATGCTGATAACAAAACGAGTATTCAATTTGATGTTCTACAAAGGCAATACAAACAAAACTGTAACAACATATTTGACATAGCGGCGCCGGTGGTGTAGTGGTAAGCGTGATTACCTCTCACCCCAGCAAGCCTGGGTTCAATCCCAGTCGGCGCCGCCGGGTTGTTCTGAGGCATAACATTTCTGATCACGCCTTCCTTCGAAAGGGAAGTAAACCCGTTGGTCCCCGGTTCATGAGTTGATGGGTCGATAGGTAGGGTCCAGGTGAGGGAGAGCTGCCTCCCTGGCGTCGGTAGCATTAGTGCTTACACGCTATTTTAAAACTACCCAAATTTGGGTAGAATCCACCCAGATCGGTCAAAACTGAACCTACCCAAAAATGGGTAAACTGTGTTGGGAGTTACAAGTTGGAAGGAGTACTTCACTTTCCTCACTTCCAAACCGATTACCTTCGTTGTCAGTATTCGTGCGTAGGTCATCATTGTAATCCAAACGTTGTTGTGAGACGGGGTTATCAAAAGCGCGTGTATTGGCTGGCGAACTTTCAATTGTTGTGGGTAAAAAACGAGGTGGTATTATGGTAGGGTAGGTGGTATATTGTTCTATCGCTTCATAATCGACCGCAGAGGGGGATTCTGCATCAACGGGTTGGGGTAAGACGTCCCGGACGGGTCCTCCGGCCTGCTGCGCTCTCTCCAGTGAGAGTGAAGGGGGTACTACACTTTCCCTCCCTTCAAGTCGATCGTTGTTGCTGTCCGGTTCGCTTGTCAGGTATGAATTGCTGGTCGGTGTTAAACGTACCGAGGAGTTATCCTTATCGAAGATGCTGGTTAGAGGGCGTTTCTTCGATCTCATACACCTCATCGATTTCTATGGAGTCCTGATCGGCTGTACCTTCTTCTTCTGCGGGTTTCTTCAACGGTGGGCTTTGACGTCCAGGCGAGCTGTTGTTACTTCTGTTGTGCCTTTTCTTCTTCTTGCTGTCACGGGGGTCCGTTGACGCTGGCGATTTGGTCCTGAGCTGCATTGATGTTCCGGCTACCTGGGACTCGGCAGGCTTCCTTCCGGCGGATTGGCTTCGTTGAATCGGGGCAGGCGGTGGCGGCGTTGATGTGTTCTGCTGCGATTGCGACTGTTGAGTTTGACGTGTGGTCATCATCCTGATGTGAGCCAACAGCTTATCGATCTTCTCGTCCTTTTTCTTCATCGCGTCAAGCAGCTTCTCCTGCATCCTACTTTCGAGTTCCTCCAGCTTCTTGCGGTCGGCAGTCTTCTGGGCTGCAGCTGCGGCGTAATTCTCTAATCCTGATTCAATTCGCTTGCCGCCTTCGGGGTACGTCAGGTTCTTATCCACCTTCATCCGGATAACATCCACCTCCTTCTTGTAGACCGGACATTGTCGATTATTCGGACGATGGGGTCCACCGCAGTTGATGCAGTGAGCAGCAGCTTCACATTCTACACCCTCCGAGAGCTCATGCTCGGCAGAGCAATTCAGGCATCGTTTCGGGCCAGGACAACGTGCACGAGGATGACCATAGCGAACGCAACCGTAAGAAAGAAGAGGATTCGGATAATATGGACGGGTAGAGACTCGAAGTACACCAATTTTGACTTGCGACGGGTAGTTGCACCTGTTGAATGTTAGGATCAAGGCGGACGTATTCACCGGCTTACCGTTCTCCCTTCGAGTAATCCGTTGGACTTGGATGACCCCTTGGCTGATGAGACCACGCAGGATATCCTTCTCCTCCATACGGATCGCCTCGAAACAGGATACGACACAACGGCTCACGTTCAGATTCGGATGCAACTGAACAACCACCTCCGTTTCATCCATTAGGGTAGTCAACTTCAGCAACTTGTCAACTTGGGCCGGGTTTCTGACCTTAAGCGTGTACCGGGTTCCTTGCGCTTCAGTCGAAGCTCCTTCAATAGGTCCATTAGCAGCACTCTCAACCGACTTCCCCACAATGAAGGGATCCGGCAGAGGGGTATTCTCGTCCTTACTTGTCAACTGCAGGTACGTCAACGCTCCAAATTCACTCGACGATGTGGCTCCTACACCTGGCCATTGGTGTCTTGACCCTCCCGGGTCGCCGCTACTAGCGGCCGTCATAGTCACTCTACCCTACCCTACCACTTTCTCGCTAGTTAGGCACCGCAAACGTTGGAAATGTTCGAAAAAGTAACAACGGTCACCCGTTGTTTACCCCAGAGGCGGTAAAATAGAAAAAGAAAACAAAGAACTTTCCTACCTTACGCTCCTTCAACGTGCATGAACAACCTCACTTCGCCCTTCAACAAAAAACTTTTCACCGAAAACTGAAAAAAAAAAATCAGTTTGTTCGGTCTTTCACACCTCCTGCTACTCGGGTCACCACACTACTATCTTCGACCGGCCAGCAGAAAGTGCTTCAATGGGCCCACCACACAGCAGCCAGTAGGTAGGTAAAATACACCGATAGCACTGCAAAAACGCGTAGCACAACACAGTAAAGGCGACCGGCACGGCAAGAATCTTTTCACTGACCACTGAACACAGCAGCAGTACAATAGCACGGGTACACTATAGGGTCGCCACGCGGTATAACACCGTATGATGGCAGGCTGTTCTTTACCGTTGCCACGGAGTAGAGACACTTTATTCGCACTTTATTCCCGCTATTTTCCACCGATCAAGGTCGGGTTTTCACGTAGATTATAAGTTTTCACTAGCCACAAAGCGACGGATGGCTTTTAAGAGAGAAAACACCGCGAAAAACCACCAAATAACGTCAATATCCCGAGCGCGTAAACTATTGCTACTGCAGGCAACAATGATGGCGAAATTGACGTTTTTTCAATATCACCTTTTCAATAATATTGTCAGTATGTCAATTTATTGTCAATATATTGCCAATATATTGTCAATATATTGTCAATATATTGTCAATATATTGTCAATATATTGATATGTGTAATGGGCGCTTTAAACACAAGGTGGCATAGTGAGTTACCCATTGGCTTGTGCTCATTTCACTTCGTTTTCATCGTGAAGTGACACCCGTAATAAGGGCCATAATATTTGAAAAAATATGGCTGTTTTGGTGATATTTAAGCGTTTTGTTAGCTATAAGCTTCCTTATAAGCGAGGCATGTATGAAAACGTAAGAAAATCTCAGAAAAACCTTACGAAATCGTGAATAATAACATGATGGTAGATCTTACAAAGCGTAAGCTGGGACGGCAGAGGTGGCAAATGTACATTTTTTGCAAAACCATCGTCCATGGTGGAACAAAACAGCCAGCACACGGCTGTCGTATATCTACGTTACAAGCAAACAGCGGAGATAGAGAATATGACTAAATGTGGCAGCCAATTTTTTTTTCTTGAAACAGTCTATTGTAAATAGATTTTAGCTGCAAATTTGCGTGTGACAGTAAATTATCAGCTCCCTTATAATTTTAACATCCATGCGTATGAGTGGTTAGTATTCATTCTTATTCTTTTTAATTCCATGCAATAAATATCAAATAAATGCAATAATGGGCCAGAAATCAGCAACATTCTAAATGACATAAGCGGCGCTTGTCTGCTTCTTTGTGCGAAAATGTTCTGTCGCTGGCAGAAAACAGTTGAGAAATGTCACATTTTTTTCCGTTTGCCAGTTTGGTTTTGTGGGCCTTCGCTATGGTCATTGCGAAAAGTTTCAAATGTTAAGGAAAAAAATGTTAAAAACCAGCACTTGTGCCACCACTGGCTTACACTAAGATTACTTCACAGATTTTTGTAAAATTTTACCGAAATTTCAACAGCTGAACGTTCGGTAATTTTTCACTGTTTTCCTATAATTTTTCACTGATACTCTGTGAAAAATTCAAGGAAAACTGTGAAAAATCACCGAACTGTTAACCGAACGTTCAGCTGTTGAGATATTGTAAAATTTTACAGAAATCTGTGAAATAATCTTAGTGTGCTGGGTTAGAAAAATCCTTAGTGAAATCTTACGTACTAAGTGCATGGTCCCTAGGTTGAATTATTGTAGCTTTACCCTAGAATCAAATAAAACTCAAATATTTCGAACGCTTACAAAATTTATCATTCATTTAAATTAAATCCGCAATATTTAAACCTGTCAGTTCCTAACTCACGGACTCCAAGAAAATGACGACCACTACAGTAATTACAGGTAGATTTCTTAAATAATTCAATCATCGGACAGTGGAGTTGCATTGAAATACGAAATTGGCCTTCTTCTTATTTCAAAGAAAACGAAGTTTGACTCATTTTGTAAAAAATAGTTTATTAATTGTTACATTTTGCTGAAAAATAAAAAAATTGTCATGATTGATTACAGCATTCTTAATTACTCAACATTAAAACAATTATGTTTTACCATACTATTCCACCCTCCTTACAACAGTTCATCATCCTCTTCCCAATCCCAGTCGTGGTCCGGTTGCAGGACCGACAATAATTCATCTTCGCTCATCCGTTCGTGATCTAAGCTGAACGCCGATGGATAAGTACACGGCAAGCAGAGCATATACGAAACACCCGTATTGTGGCCGGTACACTCGCACGTCTGGCACGAAGTCGGTACGGCCGTGCTGGCAACACGCTTCGTAAACACCGTTATGAACTTCTTCGTCGGATTGCGTGTGAGTGGACGCAACTTGCGACCACTGAATACAGATCCGCCCGTTTCCAGCGCCAAAGCACCACAATTGCCCAGCGTAGCCTTTGGCAGTCGAATCTGTTTGCGAAGATCGGTGTCTCCGATGAGGTCCTTGAGGTCCTTCTTGGTGTACGCTTTGGTGTTATCCATTCCAAAGAACATTCTCGCGACGCGAGACTTGTCGAATTCGATATCTTGATCAGCGAGGATGTGGAGTTTGATACCGTTTTCGAGCAAGAGCTGAAGTACGGAGGAGTAGTCAAGTTTCATACTGGAGCTGGAACACTTGGAACATGGCATAAGGATAAATGTTTTTGATGCTCCGGGCCTGAAAACCAGTTTTGAGGCCACGATAATTGCATCGAAGATGTCGTCGTTTGTTCCGCTGGCCATAGTGATATGATTGAAGAATGGTTCAATGTATTCGTGCGTTACAAACACGTTGTCATTAACGATCACACTCCTAGCTTTATCGAAGGGTGACATTCCTCCGAAGGCAACCACCGAGTAGCGATTATCGGTGATGTTGAGTTCTTGCAGTTCTTTGTGAAGAGTTTGTACCAACGTTACGACGCTCTTTGATGTGGTTATGTTTTGGTTGCAGGGTTTAGCCTCAACGATGAATACAACATCAGTTGTCTGTGGAATATCGTTGTCCTTCATGGGAACAAATGCTCCCTCTGGTACGTAGGACCCGTTGATCAGTTTGCAACTGTAAAGGATAGAAATAAGTACTTGGAAACATGATTGTGTCTAAATTGTAATTACTTGATACATGAATCTGGAACTCGAAGAGGCATATCTTCCAAGCTACAAGCCTCCATGTATGCAAGAGCAGAAGTGCAAGCACCGTTGTCAGATGGATCATCCGACTTGGTATCTAGATGGTATCCCAGATCGAGACACATTTCATAGAATGGCGTAGCGTCAACAATCGGGAAACACAAGGCAAAGTAGGAATGTTTCTGTCGGAAGAATGAATCGCAAAGCTGACTGAGTTCGTTTGACACCGAAAAGAAATTGCTTGTATGGTTCGTGGCTTGCACGTCAGCTTCGCATTCCGGTAGCGTCCAGCTGTTGATGAATTGCTCCTTAGAAACGGCAAACTTGCGATCGGATGTAAGGTAATCGTCAAACACTTCGTTGTTCATCGTTCCCAGGATTCCGGCCGTTTTTCCAAAGTACCAGCCGCTCAGATCAAACGAACACATGTGGTACTGTAAACTACAGGTAAGCTTGAATCCTTTGAAGGACTGAATTATTAGTAGATCAGCTTCTCGGTACACTACGGTTTCGGCAATCTGTGCCGGTAGAGCGGTTGTGACGTTACGATCTATTTTGACTGACTATAATGAACAAAAAAATAAGGTTAAGTTTTTGAGTGTACTAATTCTGATTGCATAGAACTTACAGCATCCATGATATCGATTTCCAGAACGTGCCCTTCGGTGATCAAGGTTATTTTCCTTGAAGCCTTGCCAGTTTCACGTAACATCTGTAAAAGGAACTATGAATATTTTTTTGAACATTTGGCGCATCACAAATATTTACCGAAGGTTCCAACAGCAATGTGAAAGTTTTGTCGTAAAAGTCGTGGGCCAAAACATATGAGCATTGGTTTGTTTCGCCATTCTTGAGCAGATCTCGCAAATCCATCGAAATGAACCGCTTATCGAAAGACATGTAATGTCTCGATCCTACCAGTAGCGAATTGGCTTTGAAAGGAGGTAGCCACATCTTGGTATCCATGTAAGGTTTCAACTCGCTGTACACTGTCCAAATTGTGGTATTACTACCGGCAAAGAAATCCTGAATGTCGGTCATGAATTTGTACTCTGGAATTTCATCAAACTTTGGAGTTTCGTTGAAGGCATGCCACGACATAGGTAGCTTCTGCTCCAATTCCAAAATCCCATGATCAGGATCGAAGATGAACTTTGTCTTAGCTTCTCGGTAACGATTCTCTGCCTGCAGTGCAGTCTGTGCGTATCGTCTCAACTTGTTCCTAACAATGCTCCACAGCTGATGCAGTCGTTTCTCCAATTGGAACTCCTCCGCAAGCCATTCGGCCTTGGCACGAACCTCGTTGACTCGCTGCAAGATGAACTGGACGTACTCTAGTTTCTGTAGCTGTTTGATTTCTTCCCACAGCTCCGTCAGGACCTGATTGAGCTCACGACCGAACGGTAGCAGACGGAAGAATTTTTCCTTTACAAAGCGGATCACGATTGAACCATATTTCTTCGTGTTGGTGATGATGTCGTTTTGGACGAAGTCCTTATACAGTGTGTCCAAATCTTGTGTAAAGTTGGTCACTTTGGTGAAGTAAGGTGATTCTGCTATCTCTTGAGTTTTGTTGTACAGGAACGCTGTAGAAGACATTGTGAGCAAGGTTTCTAAAAGTGTAAGCTATCGCACAAGTTATACTTACAGAATACCTCGTGGCCTACATGCCAGGTCATGGATTCTGCGTAGTGAGCTAATTTGATCACCGAAGGTTCGATATTCTGAAGCATGCGTTGCCAGTACGAAGTGATTACGTCAGTTAGCTTTCTCCACATCTCTTGAACGTGCTGTGAATTGATGATAATTAGTTGATCATTCAGTCACACATTTATAAGTTACTTACTTTTATAAACTGCAAGTGTAGATCTTTGATGAACTTATCGTATCGTTGAACAGAAGATTCCAACACTTCGGAGAAGTACTTCATCGAGTCTCCTTGCAGAATTCTACCGATCACGTCAATTATCTTCTGGTAGGAAACCTTAATTGTTTCCAGCAACCATTGAATGGACTTTTTCAAAGCTTGCCCTGATTCACCGAGAACCTGCCAGAATTCGGTCAGAATCTTTGGCAACGAAGTAATTTTATTCTTGATGGCTAACTCATCCAGCACGGTTACGGTAAAGTTGATCACCGATCGGATATAGAAGTCATCCGCCACATACGAAGCATTCAGGAACTGACGTAAATCTTCCAGATCATCCTGAATGACATTCAATCCGGAGACGTCCTCCAAGAAACCTTCCATGTAGGGATGTGCCGCATCCCACATACCATTAACCGAGTCCTTCGATTCACTGTAGATTTGCTTGACCCAGAATTCCAGCGATTCGGTGAAGGATGTGTGCAGTGCGGTGAAATAATTTCGGACCAGATTGCGCAGGTCAGAACGAATCTCTGGACGCCACAGTAGTTTACTGGTGACCAATCGGGAATGGTTCATCTTCAAATAGTAGGCTACGTCGACTTCACGTGCCGTATCGTAGTCTCGCCAAAAATCAAAGTAGGCACTCCTGGAGTCCGGGATGATACCGTACATGTAGACGTTCTCCGAGGCATCTGGAATGATATGGTCGTGTCATTGGTAGTTTAAACGTTGAGCTGTATTTGTATATTTTCTCTGTACCGTAGCTGTACTGGTAAATGCGATTCTAGTGTATGTGGAAAGACTAAAGGCAAATACGAAGCACTCATAGTACGAAAACTCGATGTCGTCTGCTCTCACATGCCATCAGAATAGAGCTAGCATGTAGACCGGTACGTTTTCAGGTGTATGGAAGAAGCAAGGGGTAAGGCAGCTTTACTCTGAGTTGCATTTTTGCAGCGAGTAACTCGTGAGTAACTCAATGTATCTCAAAATTAAATAGACGTGCATCGATTTTTTGCCTCTTTACCTCTTGGCTTACTCCGTTTACCCCCTTCACATATTAGGCGTCAGTCTTGCTTGTAGACAAAATAAAATTGTTCAGATCGGCTATTGAAACGATGTGAATTCCAGAATTTGTTTAGAAAACGGCTCCACCGAGGAGAACGAGACATCGTTGCGGGCAATCACCGAAGAACAAAACATGCTCCAAACATAATAAATAATAGTTAAAAGAAAAACAAATAAAACAATTTTTATCCTTCTGGATGAAATATCTTCTTTAAATGGTTATGTTAATCTTCAACAAACACTTCCGTTGACGGCTGCAGAAGAATCCAGGTGGTGTATCGCAGAAAGCGGACCACATCACGATCATTCAGAAAGCACAGTAGTAGCACCAGAAGTGGGAGGATGTCCGCTCGCAGCAAAACGGCGCCATGGAAATCCAGTGCTTAGTTCGTAGTTTCATCTAGCGGCAGGTTGTTAAGCGATGAGAATGGGATCACTTCAACGAGTATCAGAGGACGTGCAGGGTACGCAGTCGGATCGAGTTCTTCTACCAAATCGAGCCGGATGTTTCCTTTTTGTTGTTGTTTTGCTTGACAGCAACTTTTCGGCTTCGCAACTCCATATGTTGCTGTGATACGAAAAGTGAGAAAGCAAATGACAGTGATCTTGCTCACTGAGCAACGTGAGTTACTCCAGGTGCCTCAAAAGCAACTCTGAAATTGCTCATGATTAGGAGCTGTCTTACCCCTTGGGAAGAAGTGAAAAATCATTATCGAAAAAGAAACGATTTATCGGCTACTCATGCTCTCAGAAAAATAGAAATCGCTGTTGTTTTTCTCACGAAAACTACTATGATCGCATAGTATTCTCTTGCCACTGATATTCTCTTCTATTTTTTCTAGCGGTCGAAAAATTATGATTCTCTTCCAAAATAGGTGAAAATTACGTATGCTAATAATTAACTTGTTCCGATGGCACCAAAATATGTAGTCCCACCAATTTGATGAAATCGGAGAGGGTCGCTGCATCTTTTCGATCACTTGAGATGAAATTACTCAAACCTAAAACATCAAATGGATCAGTTAATGTCAACAATACCTTAATACCACCTAAATCACCTTAATGCATGATACATAGTGGTCTACCATTCATTTCAGCACGGAATCTAAGTCCGACAGCTCAATGAATAATAATAATAGACAGAAAAGATGAAAGTAAATTTGCGAAACATCTTCAGAAAAGACGTGGACGAGTACCGTAAAAGCGAACGGAGTTGATCATTGACTTCTTTTCATTAACTTCTGGAGAGGGTTAATAAATCAGTAAGTTAGTTTTTGGAAACAAATCAATTGGTAAACATTCAATAGTGCTTGCTAGTGCTTCATGAAAAGATTCTTCTTACTGCAATTTGAAGTTCTTGTACCACCAGAGTCTTCTTTTGAATTTCATATGATTTCATCAATCATCTTCTGGACCTCGTCTGAAAAAAAGCATCATTTAAAAATTCTTTATACATTCAGCGTCCAATTCTTCTGAAAATCGTATGACCTTTTCTTTGAAATTTGTTTTGCGCTAGCTGAGTGTGCCCGGCCTTGCTCGAGATTCAATATCAGCTTGAGTTTATGCGCCGATTAAAAAAAAACATGCTTTGTTTTTCTGTTCCATTTGTATGGGAGCCCCCTGTCACAGAGAGGAGAGGGGTCTCGAACCATCATAAGAACCTTTCTCGGCCCCAAAAACCCCTGCATACAAATTTTACACCATCGGTTCAGTAGTTTCCGAGCCTTTCAGACAGAGAGACAATTTTTTTTATATAAGGGGAAATGGATGTACACACTTAGAAATTATCGCCGACTTCGGTAATTTTTACCGAAATCTGAACAGCTGAACTGTTCGGTAAAATTTATGCAATTCAATTCAGTTGCTTTTCAGCTACTTTGAAACTAAATCGCCACTAAAATGACAAGACTTGATCATTTAAACAAGGTTGAACATGTTTTGAAATTATTTTCAAATTCAATAGCCTTTAAAATGAAGGTCAAAGTTTTACCGAACGTTCAGCTGTTCTGATTTCGGTAAAATTTACCGAACACGGAAACAAAATCTTAGTGTGTAATGTAGGCCTAAATGCCCCTAATTTGGGCCCATACATAAATTCAGCAATCGACTAATTTTTCAATAGCAACCAAAAACACCCATTTGTAAGGTTCCAATGACGCTAAAATTGATATCTAGATAAAATTTATAAATAGCAGATGTTTAGCGATGGGCCAAACCTTAGATCCATAGGCCAACATCAGAGCCATTTCCCCTAGATTTTCTAAGGGTTTCCTCACAAGATGTATAAAAATCTCGCAGACGATCTATGATGTTTAACAGAATTTCTCAGAAATTTCCAGAGGTCTGAGCTGAACTTTGTATAGTACTGTGAACTTCACTCAGAACTTTTCAAACCCTCTCTTGAAAATTTTCTGATATTCCCTAGAAAGTCCTTCCAAAGATCCCTGACTGAAAATTGCGTTCAATTTTTCATATTACTTTCCTCTGGAAGTTTTCCTACATTTCACCCAAAGTATCAGTGTAGCCCAAAATTTCAAATCTGATCACAGGCTATTGATGGGGTCTGTGAAGAAAATGTTCTACCCAAAGCAAATCAATCGCAAAGCAGGTCGTGTGAAAGAAACTCGCCAGAGCATCAAACAGAGATGGGACGTACAACTCCTGCGAAACCCAGATTTACGGAAAAAGTTTGCGGAGGAAATAATATTGAGGATGAACAACAACAGCTTCGAGTTGGACACAGATCAACGGTGGAACAAATTTAAGAAGGTGATATCAGAAGCAGCTAACGACGTACTTCCAAAGGGAAAAAAGGAACCTCAATCATCAAACACCAAACGCGCTTATCGAGCACTACAAAGGAAGCTGCACAGACAGCGGAAATTTTCGGATGTGGATAGATGCCATCGAGAAGTAGTAGGGGCCAGGAGTGAACTAGAAAGTGTAAAACGGGAACACGTTTGGAAAAGTTGGAGGCAATTCTTCGAGGAGATTGATTAAGGTTGAACCTTTTCAACGTTTGAGATGCACGTATACATTTCTCAAACAACATAAAGAGTATGAAATGCGGAAATCTACTACGAATACTGTCAATCAATTTAAATGGCTAAAGTCAGTGTATGAGTCTGTTGTTACAGATCATAACATACCCCTTCTTCCTGAAGCTGGTGAGCACATCCCTGCACCATCAAAGATGGACATTGAAGCAATCATCCAAGGCTTCAGAAGTGGTACTTGTCCAGGACCAGACGGTTTAAATGTGGAATTGTTGAAAAATGTACCCAAGGAGTATATGAACGAACTTCATACAGTGATTGAAAATATTTGGATCAAAAACAGGGCTCCTGAAGATATTTCGGAAACTATTCAGATACCGATTCCAAAGAAGCCGTATCCTAAGGAGACAAGTGATTTCCGTAAAATAACTCTTTGTAACGTGGTTTACAAAATTGTAGCCAGCTACCTACTCATGAAATTGAATGAAACCACCGAAGAAATCCCATCATACCAAGCTGCAATCGGTCCGTGGAGGACCACATTTTCTCATCTAAAAGGATCATGGAGGAATGGTAGAACAAAGGAGATGAACTTTTTGTATTCTCTTTGGATATCCGGCAAGCTTTCGATTCGGTGGATCAAAATTCATTAGTTGATGCATTAAAGTTCATGAAGGTCCCAAACTTTTTAATCAATAGAATTATTAAATTGGGGCTGCATGAGAAAAAGTCTTTGAGGTGCTAAGGTAGTAAAGTAAGGGTGTCCCCTTTCCGCCAGACTCTTTACCATAACACTACATCATGTACTGAGTCGCTTGAAAGAACATTTTCCTTACATCTGGGTCAGAATGAAGGAATGTCACCACCAGTAATTTTCGCTTACGCAGACGCAGTGTCTGTTTTTATCATTTACCATCACATGCAAGGAGTATCGCTTCAACCCAGTGTCGATGAATTGCGTTTGTTTTGAACATCTTCGTAGTAACGAAACGAGAGAAATGAACAAATGAGATTATTATACATCAACGAATACGCGTTTGTTGATATTCACCAGTGCTCGATTTTCAAACCCAAAATTGTCAAAATCAGAAGTGATCCTCAGAAGCAAAATAATCAACGACATTTTGGGCAAAATGATTATTTTGAATATTGTCGACCACACTGCCTAAATCATCGATATTATCATCAGTTCAGCTTGAGGCAATAATTTGCCGTCGACTTATGTCTGAAAACCACGTTCTTCAGCTCTATATTTGTTTAAAATGAAAATAATCATTTAGCATTTGATCCTCAATATCATCCCGACCAAGATGAAGACGAATATCAATATTTACAACAACAGAGGCGATAATGAGAATCCAGCCACGAATGAAGAAAAACAAATGTTATTTTTTAGAGATGAACTAGCCTAAGGCTAAAAATCTCTTAAATAAAGAATTAAAAAAAAAAAAAAAAATGTTATTTTAGATACTTAGAGGTTGCCTAGATCAAGGGAATTTGTTTAAATCAAAATTCAAATTCATGCAGGTAGTTGGTCTATCTGTTAAGGTTTTCTTCATTTTCAGCTAAATTGAGTGTAGAAGAAAGGATTTTTATCAGCACTGCGCAGACGACATTCTGATCGTATGCAGCAGTATGGATCAACTGGATGAAATCGTACGGGTTCTGAAAGAGCTCTTAGCAGAATCAGGATTAATTGTGCATTCCGGAAAATCAGAGCTCATTGTAAGGGACCCAAAGTCAACCAAGGTAGCAGTTGAAGATATGTTCAGAATTGCTGAAATGGAGATAAAAGCTCAGCCAATCATGAAGTACCTGGGAATATATCTCACCGCTACGCTAAACAGACCGGAAAATGTAAAGAAAATGTGCTTGAAAGGAACGAGGGCAAGTAAAATGATTCTTCCGTTCTTGCTAAAGAACAAACCTCCTTGGTATATAGTTCGGAGAATTTATGCAACGGTAATTGTTCCCACCATTGTTTTTGGACTAAATGCCATGGCTCTGACTTGTAACCCTTCGAAGGTATGAGCGTAAAATTGTGCGAGAATGGTATAAAGCTTGTGGAGGCAATGAGGAGCAGGCAACGAGGAAGCTGCTGATGGGTCGTACTATTGGGAAAAAAGTTAAAATTTACCGAATTCTCTATTGGGGTCATAAAGCGCGAAGGGACGAAAATCATTTGCTACAAGCAGCATTTAACCTTCGATTACTAAGTCCAAAAAGATTCTGCAGGCCATGTGATACATGGTTCGTTTCATTGGACAAAGAATTACAGTCATTCGGTAAGACAAAAGCCAACTTCGAAGGAATACTACATGACAGAGATACGTTGAAGAAAGAGGCTGCAAAGTTATACTTATTAAATGAAGCATCAGATAGCGATATGTCGAGAAACTCACTAGGTACAGATGAATCATCAAACGAAAGCGATGATGGTTGGATGAACATTATCAATGGTTGAGGCAATAAATCCGATGGAAACATTAATGAAAATCATTAATTTATATTGAGACGGCTGAGGTGTTAAAGTAAGGCTCATTTCCGTATTTCCTTTTCCCAAGTCCTTTTCCCAAGTCCTTTTCCTCTCCTTCCCTTCGCTTCTTCTCTTTTCAGAAAGCGAGTAATGGCGCTATAACCATATGCCATATAGGGCTAGGACAAGAGTTAGTGCTCAGGTCCTAACCGCAATACAACGGAACGTAAATCATCTTGCCCCTTAAATGCTGCACAGTAGGCCTGGCCGTTTTGATATATTTTGCGCATTTATTATGTGCAACATATACCAAATAGAAAAAAAAAGTGATGGAGGTATATCTATCATTTTCCAGGATGCTTTAATGAACTGGCTGTGTTGGTGTTAGATTAGATTAGATTTCACCAAATGGATCAGTGTGGATGTGTGCATTAGAGTGATGCAAATTTTGAAATTTTCGCTCCACAATACTTAAACGATTCCAAATCGGATCCTGACTAACCTCTCAAAATTTGAACCCATTTGGTGAGAAACTGAGATGGCACAAACCATTTGAAGTTTGTATGGGAATTACTATGGTAAAACCAAGATTTTTGTTCATGTCTATCTAACAATTCACCATATCGGTCTGCTTCAAAAACTTTCAACTTTCACATTTTGATTAAATGCAAGGATCGAAAGTTATCAATGGTTCAATGCGCTGATGTCTTATGATCATGCTCAATCAACTGCTCAGCAGGCAACATTGGTGTTTCTGGGGCGTTGAATAGGACACAAAAATCATGGCTACTATGTCACACTGCAAAATACAGTGTTGCCTACAGAGCAGCTGCTTGATCATGTCATAAGTTTACCAATCTCTTAAATAATTAATAACTTTTTCCTGTCTCGTTTTACATAGAAACGATCTTAAGCAAAGTTATAGCTGAGAAAATTTTCTATAAGAATGGCTATAGAACTGTTTCGCAGCTTAATATGGAAAAAGACTAGAAGGCAATGAACAAAAAGTTGAGATTTCCCATAGTAATTTACAAGTAAACTTCAAATGGCTTGTGCGAAGTCTGTTTCTAACCAAATGAGTTGTAACTTTGGGAGGCTAATAAGGACCCGATTTAAAACCATTTAAGCACTGTGGAGCGAAAAAGTCAAATTTTGCGTCAGTCTAGTGTGCATACCTTGTGTCATGTTGATCTTCATTTGAACCAGTTTGTCGTCAATATCTATGAAGAAAAACCCTGCTGCGTCCTGATCCGGGCCATCCAGTAGACTTCCGTTGACCATATAGATTGGATAGCCACCCGATGCTTTGCCCCACAAACGGTAGTTGCTTTGGGATGTCATTTTCTGGAAAGGAGTTATTATCGGTTGAAAATACTTCATATTTTATAAATGCCACAAAACAACCAACCTCAAGAATGACTTCTTTCTGCTTGACATCCATCTTTCCGATGACGTATCCTTCCATTCTCGAGAGGTACCCCCGTTTGTAGTGGGAGTTGGTATTGAGTTCGTACAAACCTAGTCGTAGACCCACGGAACCAATCGAGTCAAGATCCAAATCGGATGCATCATGTAAACCGAACATGTGGTAGGTGTAGTTTCTATAGCCGACGGTAGGCGTAAGATCCTTGGCATTCATACCAACCGATATTTGATGGCCTTCGGACTGGGTGTAGCGGATATCCAGGTTCGTCTTTAGCAGATCTGTATCGTCCGAATAGTAAACTCCTTTCAACGTGATGTCCTGTAATGAGAGTCAAATGTCAGGCATGTTGCTGTATTAGCATTGACAGTTACGATACCTGTTCAAAAGTTGGATGTCCCAGAAGAACCAGCAAACTCTGCTGCGTTGCATCACCGGATGATTCGTCAGCCCATCGAACAGCAGCTTTCACTGTTCGCAACGAATTATCATCGTTATCACTCGTCTTGTTCGGAGTGTATTGCAATGAGACATCCGAGTCGAAGGCGTTTTCCGTCACCGAGTACCAACCATCGGCTGAGAGATTCCTACGTGGATAGGAGATCTCCAGCCTGAATTTCTGTGAATCGTTGTCCACTTTCGACAGGTTGGTTAAGTGGAAGTCGTACGCAATCCACCGGGTTGGCGATAGTTGTAATTTGGATTTCTGTTTAGTGGTTTCACCTTCAGCATCAAAATCGGCTGTTAGCACTACGGTACGATTCGGATGAATAGCTGTGATGACGTATTCCCTTCCTGTGTCTCTGGTGGAGATTTGAAGCTCACCGGTTATATTGAATTTCTTCTGGTTGCGCAGTTCGAAGACTTCGGCACGTTTGGTGTCCTGAAAAAGGGTTTCAATTATTCTGATCCTAATAATTGCTAGAATTAAATACCGTTTCTTTGAAGTTGTTCTTAAGAAGCTTGGTAGTGTGTACGTAGTGAACACCTAATGGTTTGAAATCATTCTCCAATGTCACATCGACAGTCTCCTTATCGAATCCTACCCTGTAAATGGATTGCACGTGATCAAAGAAAAAAAATTCGGGGGCATTATCCCTTTAGCACAATAAAGGCTCACCTGGACTCCTGTTTGGACGTGTACTGTCCGCTCAATACCTTCCTATCGTTGTAGTCAATTTCTGCGTGTCCATTTGTGATCGCCGGCCTTTCAGCTAAACCATACTTAATCTCAGCGTAGTGTCTAGTCTGCAGTGGTATCTCTACCTTTATGGTTCCTTGTTGATCTCGATCCAAGTTATTCACTTTATAGGTAGATTTGGCGTCAAATATGGCACTTGATTCTGGCCAGGTGGCTTTAAGGTACCTTATCGATTCAAGTGGACTCTCTATAAACTCCAGTTGACCGTGAAGCCAGGTTATATTCAAGAATGGAGTCGTACAGTTTAAATCACCCTTCATGTTGGAGAGGTTGGCAAATGCTACATTGGCTTCAGCTACTTTCTGCGAGGCAGGGATCGAAATGTTTCCGTTCACAAGGTAGAGGTCATCTTCAAAGTTGTACACGGCAAATGCTCGGAAGGCATCCTCCAGATACCACGGACCTCGCAGCTTGGCGGAAATTTCTCGCTTCTCACCCATTCGAAACACATCTAAGTTGGACTGGATGCGCTGGGATTGTACATTTGGACCCCATTCGAAGCGAAGAAGGGTACGCAAATCGGTCACAAAGCTGTACTCCGAATGCCACGCGTATCGCTTATGTGATTCCTCTGCATCGTAAGATGCCTCGAAGTTATGTCTGCGGACTGGTTCCAGGAAAGGAATGTTACCATTCATGCTAGCAGCTAAGGTATGGACGTCTCCAACGGGTTTCGGTAGTCGAACTTTCAGAACACCGGAGACATCCGAAAGGGATATGAAGGTCACGGAAGCATTGGAGCTGAAACTGAATGAAAAAAAAATGTTTTAAATTTGTGGTTACACTTCTTTACGCAGTAATACTAACACCCAGATGTCGTTCAAGTTCAAATCCCCGCCAAACGTCATATTCTGATTCCGTTCTAGATCAGGACTCAGGTAGCGCACACCAATTTGGAAGAAACGTCCGTCAGCGTTCACTTTTTGCACGCGATTATGCAATGCAAACTGCATATTTTTCAGCAACTGCCAATTCCACAAGCAACTGGCATCCCCAGAAACGGACGGTATACTGTAGTTAGCCGTAACCGCACCGGAAATCGGCTGAACATCAAACAACATGTAGATGTCAGCTTGTTCTAATCTGTCGCTCTTCCAAGGTGACTTCAGGTGGAATGAGCCTAATGCTTTATCATCGTCGGTAGGAGCTATTCCTACTTTGAAATCGATACCGGCTAGATCTGGTTCAGATGACTGAATGTCCAATCCAAAGTTCCAGTCACTCAACGATAGCAGTTTCATGCTACCATCGATACTGGCATGCTTGGCTCCTCGATTGATCTTGGCCTTGAAACTAGTTACCGCATCATCCACTGTGTACTCATAGCTGATGGAGCCTTCTTCTTTATCTTCATTTGTATCTTCAACAGGTTTTATTATCATTTTAACCTATAATTTTAAAGATTGAAGGTAGATTTTACACATCTTTTGTTCTGATCACATGTACTTACATTCTTCGGGATATCATCAACGATAGTGGCGTCTCCTTCAACGATGAACATTTCGTCGTTCCGGTACAGTTGGCCAGCAACTGAATACTCATCGTCGTGTATCTTCAGTAAGCGACCATAGATCGATAGATTGCGATATTCCTGTATGGGAATGCTCAGCTCAACGGCTACCATTTCTCGGTTTCGAGACGCCTTGGCTCTAATGTAATCGTACACACCCTCGCTATCGTTGAAGCGCACTTCAAGTTGAGCTTTCGGGTATGGTTCACGAGTGATCGACACCTCGGTATCAATCATCTGCACCGGTAGGAAGTTGGATTGGTACTTGCCCTTGCCTACAATGAAGTGTGGCTCGGCCATGGTCCAAACACCGTCTAGCCGGAACTGTTAGGAAGACATATTCGTTTTAAATGATTTATACCACCTGAAACATCGAAATCTTACGTTGTTGTACAGATCCCCGTCATGCACTACAAAGCCCATATCCATGGAATTACTGGATCCACCGAGATCTTGTTTGTAGAAAATCCGACATGCATAGTACGGTACCAGTGGAGATCGCACCCAAATGGTCAACGCAGAATCTATGAACTGATCTTCACTCTGTGGAATAAATGCCATTCAGTTACGGAACCTTTCCAAATCTAACTTCAAATAACTCATACCTCAAACGACACAGCTATGGACGCATCGGTTTTGGTTGTCTTGGCTGTTATGTTCGCTTTGTAGCCATGTTCTTCGATGTCGAGGACTCCGTGGAGACGAACCTTCTTCAGATTTTGCATCGGCGTCATCAGGTTGACAATGGCATGATGGGTCTTGACTTCCGATTCGTCTTCCGATACGTTGTAGTAAATATGAAAACCAGTGTTCACCCATTCCGTATCGTTCAACACAAGTACATTGAATCCCACTACAAACTTGTTGGTAGGATAAGGTACCTGCAGTTCGAAACCAGATTGAATTTCTTTCATGAATGCGAATGGAGTTTTCACTTTCATCGAATTTTTCATGTTCATCAGATCCTCCAACCAGAAACTATCGCGAATATCTACATCTCCTTGCGGCAGTTTTACTTTTCCTGTTACGTAATACTTGGACCTGTATTCTTCAAGATCCAGAGTACCGGTTATGGTTGGCCAGATGATCGTGTCTATTGCTACATTTCCAATCAAGTTCAATAGCTCCTCCTCCTCATCATCTTCTTCTTCATCATCCTCCTCTTCGCCTCCATTGACCGGAACTACAGAATCATCTAGAAACACATCTAGGATTTCGGATGCTTTTTGAACTCCAAGTTGCCGTAATAGTTGAGGTTTCGGTTCTGTAATAGCCCGGATTCCCAATTTGTATGTCTTGAACCTTCCACTGAACTCCATATCGATGTATTCACTTTTTTCTCTGTTCATCACCAGCTTCAGAATCAGTCCGTTTTCTTCAAATTTGGGCAAAGGAGTAAACACCTTATACGAATATTCAAAGTCCTTCAGGTCATTCTTTCTCCAAACACCCACGAATCCGATGATCAAACTATTCAAACCAGCTCGAAAATCAACGTTATCCGGTTTCAGCTTTCCTCTCAGGATAACTCTCTCCAAATCCTTCAACGGCGTTGCCAGGTAGAACTTGATGTCAAAGTCATACGCCGATACTACGGCAAAGAGAACTTCAATGCCGAGGGCACTCTTTGGAGTTATAACCTCTGCTACGGCATGACGCTCTTTCTCGCTTATTCCGAACCGTCCGTTGATGTTCCGGAACTTTTCATTGGATGACGTTACGTTAACTGTCAACATGTTATCTACCAGATTACGCACGTGGCCCTTCAACACCAATTCGTACTTATCGTCATCCAGCTGAAGATCAGCAGCTCCCCGAAGGTCTTTGCTTTCAGTTAGAGAGAATTTTGTCGCTAATGCGCCTTTCTTGTAACCTTCGAAGGGACTCACCAATACAAGCGAACCTGTGACATTGCGGTAGAGCTCGTCCTGATCGTACTGCCAGTTGGACCATACAGAAAACACCTGCGAAGGTTCATCGGTTACGGTGTGGTTGATAGTCACTAACGTATCTACTCGCTTGAAATCGTACTTATGCTTGAGATGAACCTTCACCGTCGGCACGTGTTGAATTGAACTGTGCAGTTTGGTTTTCAATTCGCAGTTGAAATCTGTGTCATTTGACAAATACAAGCCCATCACTTCCAAGCCAAGAGTTTGATCTTCAGCCCAGTTAGCGGAAAGATTCGTTTTGAGCAGATTATCTTTGAAATAGAAACCACCGTTCAGAGCATTGTAGCGCCAACCCTCAAACGGTGTAATCAGTTTGAATAACAACCACATATTCCTAAGGATTTCCTCGTCGGAACCTGCATCAAGTTTTAGTTCGATCGCTTCCGTAGTGTTCCACGATATCCGTGCATTGGCCAGGTAGTTTGGATCGATTGCCTTTAGGTCGAATACACCGTTGATCGTTCGGTTTGGATAGGATATAAGGAATCTGCCGTTGTATAGTCGATATTCGGGAGTGTTGAGCTCTCCAGATATGGCTAATTTTTGCGTAGGATCACGATTGGCATCCCATTTAACTTCTACTCCGAGTTCTCGTTTCAATCCTGTAGAGTATCCCTTCAATATCAAAGTGATGTCACGAAGTCTACATCAGAAAAATGTTGTTTTATTTATATGAGTTACTAATGATGAAACAACATGCACTTACTTATCGATATGAAGTTCCAGTAACAATTCCTTGATCGGAGCCGATTTCATCAAAGCCGAAAACGAGTACAAACTGTCTCGCCACTGGAACCCGGCATACGTGTTGGTACCGTTCTCCGGATCTATGATGTGTTTAACGGTTAATCCGTAAGGCTGCTTACCGTATTCCGCGTGTAAGTCCAACTTGAACTCGATCTCATCGCGAACGTACTTAGCGTCTGCGGTAATGTCTCCAAACGATGGGCTCTGAGCTTGCAACTTGGCATGATGATAGCTTTTGATAAAGGAACTGCGATCCTGGTACCAACCGTTGACGACGATCGAGTGTCCGGAGAACCACATTCCGTTGAAGTCAAACTGAAATTAGTCATGGTAATTATAGCTACTATATTCTGGCAAAATGCCTTGCTGTTACTCACGTAGTACTCTTTGCGAGCCTTCTCCTTGACCTTCAAATTGATCGTACATGAGTCGAATCCGGGTACGGTTATGTTGGCAGCCGTGTCAATCACGAACAGTATTCCCCGGGGCATGTAAACCGAAAATACACCGGTAATATCTTTGTCCGTGGCATATCGCAACAGCAGCAGTATGTTATGCTCCGTACCTTTCTTATTGTTGTTTTCATGCCTGGAAAAAGGATTTTATAGCGAATGTGAATATGATTGTGTGTGTACCTTACAATAAGCTGCTCGGGCAGTTAAGTAATCACTATGGAGCATCCAAACGACTTCGATTTGGCTGATGATGTTGCTCTATAGCATATATATACAACCATTCCATAGCAAAACGGTATAGTAGTTCTCAGAATTTCGTAAAAATTTGTAGTTTTGTTCCTTGTCGCAAAATATTAAACCCGTATTTTTTTATTTTGTCATTAGGGTGACCATTTCCATATTAGGGGTAGATAAAATATGTTTTAAATGGCTTTTTTCAATACATCAAATGAAAGGTAATTTAAAATACTTTTTTGGAAAAAATATAGTGATATCATCGACAAACCGACATGAATGATCATACAAATTACAAAGAAATTTCTGATCAAAGCACAAAACTGACATCTGCCGCCGTGTTCGCGGAGAATATTCATCCTAGCCACGAACACGCGTACAAAATTTATGAGTTGGTTCGTGTCTAATCTATTTCGGACAAATTATTTTTATCATTTCTATGGTTTTAACAGCTGGGATCGCTGCACATTTGAATCGGCCGTTATGGATTCTCGATCAAGAGTTAAGTTTAAGTTTCATGTCGGTTTGTCGGTGGTGATATTTAAAAATTGAGGTCAAATAAAAATCGGACATCACTGGATGAATGTGAAACGTCATTTCAAATATAAGGGCCGTTCAAAAATAATAAGACAATTTGAAAGGGACCGGGCCTAACCACTAATTCTGTCCCCACGGTAACTGAAATAAACAAGAGTGCTGACCGGTTGACCTAGCCGTAGCGTGCAAAATCGATTTGTTTATTATTTTCAACCACGAAATCAGCTGTCAAAGTGTTCGACGTGACAGCGGTTTGTTTTTTTAATTTTCAACCAGAAAAACGCATGTATTAGTGAAACTGCTCACTGCCGTTGATCTAAGTTCGGTTAAAAGATGATTCTTTGCACATCGTTGACTTCTAAGATAACTCTATTGAGTATTATCTACACGAAATTATGCATAGCAAGAGTTAAAGATGTCGATAACTGTAAATTCGATGAAAATTATCTGTCATTTGAAATGAATTTCATTTAGAATTCAGAACCTCAAACCGGGGTGCGATTTATAGAAATTATGGCGAGCGTAAAGAGCCGGATAACTTAAAAAGAAGCATTTCGGAGACTTGGTGTCTTCAGAAAAGTGTCTTATAATAATGAGAACAAACTATTGCTAGAAACAGGAAATTCGAAAATCATCCACGTACACGCAGAAAAAATATTTTAAACGTAATAATATTTGACGTAAAATCAATAAGAATTTCATTTTGTTTTGGCTGCAAAAAGAAATCATTATTGTTTCAACAATCCAGTATTTTTGTTCCTCAAAACCCATGGAATGTTACATCAAAAAGAAAATCTTTTCGAATTTACAAGAGCTTTCATGGTTTTGACGTAAGCTGTCAAATTTGGCAGCTGGGTCAACAACAAAAATATGTTTGTTTTTAAAAGAGATTTCTTGTTGATTCAATCATATTTATTTTATGAAGTCTGACAATTCACGCAGTAGAAATAAAAATATGTTTATTGATTCAAAAATCCGGAGTGATTTGAACGTAATTGCTTTTGAAAACAAACATGTCAATTACTGATTTCTCTTGAAAAAAAAAGCTCAATCTCACAAACAAACTATACCAAAGATAGAGGAATCATTCCTCTACCTCATAGTGTTATTACTTTTCGAGATTGAGCTTTTATTCGCGCGAAATCGGTGATTGACGTGTTTGTTTACAAATGCAATTACGCCCAAATCTCAAATCATTCCGGAAATAATACGGCCAATTTTTTTTATGTTTTGTTTTATTTTTCACTAATCATCCTTCGGAAGGGAAGTAAAGCCGTTGGTCCCCGGTTAATTAGTTGATGGGTCGATATGTAGGGTCCAGGTGTGGAAGCCTTCCTGGCGTCGGGAGCATTGGTACTCAGCACGGAAAACAAGATCAAGGAAAAAACAGAAAATTGATTATATTTAGCAATTGTAGCTCGAACTGCAGCATACTTACTTACCTCAAGTCTCAAGATTTTCACTTATTTCCCGAATTTCACAAGTTTTGTTATTCTTTACATTTTTGTGAGGTTGAAAACGAGGGAAGGGTTGGTAGTTATTGTTGCATTCATGGCCCGGAGAATGGACACAGCAAATAAATGCTAAATTAAATTTACTATTGTTGGCTTAATAATAGAATATTCTTTAAATTTGTCGAACCTCTTAACGGAATCCCTTTATGAAGAGCTTTGAGTGGGGTCTGTTACCGCGAGGCAATTAATTTAAAACCAAAACCATAAGATAACCACATAGTTGCATCCCGTTTGCATAGCCCTAGCTGACGTTGATACCAAGGCCAAGAATATGAAATGAAAAGTAGGGCAAAAGGAGCGAGAGCTCGTTTTACATAATCTAACTGCAGTATTTACTTAGGAACGTTTCTGCGTTCAAGTAGGATAAACACGCCCACGCATGGCATGCTTGCGCATCTAGGTTACGTTTAGCTTTCCCTCTCTGTTTATCCTTAACGAAGGATATAATTATAATGTTTAAACGTTACAAATGTCTCATTCTTATGTGTAGAGCCATATCAGATCTGAGTTACAAAAAGAAATAAACTTACAAGATAACCCGAGAAATCCCAGATCTGAGAGGGCATAGTATATAAGATCCAAATAACACAAATTTACCCTTTCAAGGGCGATCGAAATCCTAGCTAATAGAATAGGCAAAATTAGGTCAAAAGTCCGGTATTGAAAGGGATATGTAAAACCCTGGACGAACCAAGTAAAAGTTTTACATAATTATAAGTTGCTAATGCAACACGTAGCTGTAAGATCACTTTGTACAATTTTGTTGAATAAAATTAAGTTTCATAGGTTACTCCAGATTCTTCTCTTTTTTGAATCCGAAAGAACTTTCGGCCTAGAAGTGAAAACTTCTCTCCTTAACCGGGGAAAAAAGTAGCTCCTAGAATCGAGAAACAGTGTCTGACCTGAAAGCGAAAGACTCTCCTTAACCGGAGAAGAAAGTAGCTTTTGGCGGCGACAGGGTCTATTAAGCAATGTTGATGGATTATGTTTAAATATTTCTAAACTTTCAGCTACGTCTAGTTTCCAAGGCGAAGAGATGGATAAAGGACTTCATTATGAATTTAAATCCAAGGTTGCAGAACATATCGTTACAAAGGGGCACAATTTGACTAAGGATAACATTAATATCCTGCGGACTGTATCTTCGCCTTGGAAACTAGACGTAGCTGAAAGTTTAGAAATAGGGTAAATGTTAGCTTCGGCACCCATTGACTGTTTTCGGCAACCAAAATTTAAACGTTAATTTCACTATGTTTTCCCATCAACGTACTTCCCTGAATGTGTCCAAACGATTGTTTAGCCTTTCAGCTTCAATCTGATTATATTTGAACGATCGAGCAATCCAGTAATGCTACATTTTTCTTCAAATAAAGCATACGCACTACAAAATGGGGTTGATTTCGAGTTGCCGATAATAGAACAGCTGGTTAACACGCAGTTCTAACAACAATCAATACGAAACTAACGATTTTAAATTGGCTCACCACTTTAGTAGCCTTTTGGTCCCAAGCAAACGATTAACGTACCCTATTCTAGTTGAAATTCTATTACTACACTATGTTTGTTTTGATTCGCTATGAAAGTTTGACAGATAACATCAGGGGTGTGTGGATTCCGTGGATTCATGCAGAACATGCAGGGGTGAGTGAAATAGCTTGGGACTGCTTGGGACCGTTGTTCTGGTACTGAGTGAGCCAAAAATAATAATGATTTTCTTCGGGACCCAGTGGTCTTAGAGTTACCTCTATGGTTCTAATGGGAAGGTTGCCGAAGAAAAAGAGGCTGCCGACAATAGTCACACTCACCTGAGAAGTTTGGAGCGTTGTAAAAACGCTTTCAAAACGTTTTGAAAAATTCTGTCGATTGGAATGGATAGAAAAGCAAGCAGCAGATGAATGTAAACAAACAGACACATCATATATGTGCGTGACACTGAGAAAATGCTAGTAGAAGTGCAGACGCTGCTTAGATTGACGAGAATACGTAAATTCCCCTATTTAAACATAATCCATCAACATTGCTTAGTAGGGATCAAGGAAATGGATAAACGAAACTCTTTAGCTCTTGGTTACTTGGGGCGGCGCCGGTGGTTTAGTGGAAAGCGTGATTACCTCTAACCCCAGCAGGCCTGGGTTCAATCCCAGTCAGCGCCGCCGAGATGTTGTGAGGCATAACCATAGCATAGACCAGAAGGTCCCGAAGAAACGAGCTCAACTTTTTGGCTCAGCTCTGGTACTATCTTCGGTCCCAAGCTAATTGATGCACCCCTTGAAACATATGAAAATCCACGAACCCTCCATTTTATCTGTCAAACTTTCATAGCGAATTGAAACAAACATACACAGAGAAAAAAATTACCCTTAATTTAAGTTCTTTTTACTTAATTTTGGGTAATTTTGAGTTTTGCATCCCACTCTCACTTTTTGTTGTTGTCAAAAACGGAACGAGAGATTCGACTTTCTCATGACTATCGTTCAATAAGCTACTAGTGAGTATATGAGATATTTTCAAATTTGAGTAAATTGAACTTAATTTTGGGTAGAAAATACTCACGAGTAAGTAATTATTTTTGCCGTAGTCAAATGCAAACTACTATAAGCGGTTTACTGAAAATTAGCTTATTGAACAGAACATGGGAGATGAGTGAAAAGAACTTAATTTTGGGTAATTTTTCGGTTCCGTGTAGTGTAGTACTGGAATTTATACTAGAATGAGGTACGTTAATCGATTTGCTTGGGACCAGAGGTGGCAACAGTACATTTTTTGAAAAACCATCGTCCAGAGCGAAGCAAAACAGCCAGCACACGGGCGGCCGTTTATAACTACATTCCAAGCGAACAGCGGAGAA